AATAATAATAATAATAATAATAATAATAATAATAATAATAATAATAACAACAACAACAACAACAACAACAACAACAACACTAATTGCCATGGGCATGGGCAGTTAGGCTGCTTTCCTCCCCCCATTCCACATTTGATCCTGACTTCCTGACACCAAATGGGAACATGGTAATCTCCTGAGTAGACCTCACCTTTCCCTGATCCTCTCCTCCCTGCGTGACCTAGGATGGATAGGGGATGGGCCTGGATCCTCCTCTGATTGCTCAGACGGCCTCTGCTCCTCCTCTTCCTCAGAGTCAGTCTCCACCAGGGGCATGACAGTGGGCTCAATACTTCAAGAGATTCAACTTTATCATGAAATATATCCCAGGAGGGAAAAACATATTGGGAGACGCCCTGTCTAGAAAATCCCAAATTGACAATCGCCAGGAAGTGAAAACTATGATATCAGAAGCCCAACATGCAGGCCAAGTAATCACCTGCAGCCAAGCCAACCACAGATCCAGACACCTAGAAGACAAACTGATAACTGAGTTGAAAGCAGCACTTTTAACTGATCCATGGTTTGTTGAACATCAAACCAATTTGACAATGAACGAAGGATTGTCTTGGAAAGGAACCAAAATTTATGTACCCAATACTCTAAGACTGATGGTCCTGAAACATAGCCATGACTCGCGGTTGGGGGGACACATTGGGTTCTTAAAAATCCTACATTTAGTCAGGAGAAACTTCTGGTGGTCAAAAATAAAAACTGATGTCGAGGACTATGTGAAAAGCTGCTCAATTTGTGCCACAATAAAACACAGAACTAGAAAAACCCCTGGCCTCCTTCAACAAGTAGCTGAACCAACAAAGCTGTGGGAAAAAATTGCGATGGATTATATCATAGAGTTAGCTGAAAGTGGAGGAAGTACCCTGATTTAGACTATTATCGACTTATTTTTTAAGCAAGCCTACTTTACAGCATGTAACGGACTATCTTCGGCCAAGAAACTTGTGAAACTGTTCGTGAAACATATCTGTAGGCTCCACAGAATACCTCGTAGAGTAATCTCAGACCGAGGTGTATAGTTTACTGCTAAGTTCTAGAGGGAGTTTTTAAAGTCCATTCGGTCATCCCAAGGGCTTTCCTCAGCATTCCATTCTGCGTGCAATGGGGCAGCAGAGAGAGCGAATGCCATGGTGGAACAATACATCAGATGCTATGTAAATTATCAACGGAGAACTGGGCAGAACTGTTGCCATTTGCAGAAGCTGCTTACAATAATGCAGTACACAGCAGCACAGGCTTGACTCCATTCCAAATCAACACCAGCATGGGTTTTGTCCCAATGTCGGAGTTACCTAGGGAACCCCCCAACATCCATGTCTTTCGCGGAGTGGATGGACTCATTAAAGAAAGGTTGGGAGGATACGAAAAAAGCTTTAACTGAAGCTGCTGATGAATATTAAAAAACAAGCAGACAAACATAGATCCCTTCAACCACCATTTAAAGTAGGGGACAAAGTGTTTTTGTCAATTAAATATCTCAAGTTGAAACTTCCCAGTAGGAAGTTGGGCCCTAAATTCTTGGGTCCATTCCCTATATTTAGGATAATCAATCCAGTGACAGTCCTATTAAGTTTCCCTCGGCTGTTGGGGAAAATACACTCAGTGTTCCATAGTAGTTTATTGAAAGCTGCTGTAGGGTCAAATCTAAGGCCAATACCAGCAGCTCCCCCCAAACCTCTGATCGTACAGGGTGAGACACGTTATGAAATAAAGAAAATCCTCAATTCTAGATTATACCGCAGAAGATTACAATATTTGGTGTTATGGAAAGGCTACCGTTTGTCAGACACTACCTGGGAAAAAGTTGGGATATACATGCAGATAAACTGGTTAACCAATTCCATGACAGCTTCCCTGACAAACTGAAGGGTCCCCTTGGAGGGGGGGGGTTAAGGGCATCACATTAACCCCTGGTTGTGTTTTCTTTATTATCTCTTCCAGGATGTGATTTTTTCAAGGGGGGATGCCTGTCAGCTTTGGAAGCCATATTGAGATTCGATGCTCCCATGCTGCCACAACCTGAGAAAGTGGAAGGGGGATTCAATTGAGTAGCTCTAAGTAGACAAAATAAAATTCTTTTGTTAGTTCAAGGTCATTGAGAATGGTGCAGAATGAAATAAGGATCTTTCTTTAAGATGGATCATGATTGGGCCATGTGATGTGATGATGGCCAAGTGGGGATGGATTTGTAGTTTTGAATATTGCAAGGAAGCCCAAAAACTTTCAGATTCGGGATTCCACAGATGTGCCCGTCTATTATCTAAATAAAGATACCTTTGAGATATGTCTGTCTCAGAGTTATTGATTGGAATGGAGGTTTGCTGGAACGCTAACAGACTGCCTGCCATTCGCAAAGTATATATAGCAAATGAGTGAAAGAACTATTAAATGCTGTGAACAACATTTTAACTTCCATCCCATCCAGCACACTATGTGAAACTAACCAATTAATGTACAGCACAGCTGCCATTATAATTGCAGAATTGGGTTATAAAATGGCAAGAAAGAAACCACTGAAACACCAAAGTGAACAATTCGACTTGAAAATGGAAAAAGTATGAGGAGATATCAGCAATTTGAAATATTTGAAAGAAGGAAAACTAAAGAGTGAAAAGCTGAAAAATAATTTATGCAAAAAATACAACCTTAAGGAAAAACAATAACAGAAATCATGGAAGAGTTAACACAGCATGTAATAGCAACAGCAAAGAAAATCGAAAGGTACAAGGTACAAATAAAAAAATACCATGAAAATTCATTTCAGAAGAAACTAACATGTCTTCTACCGATCACTTAATGAAATTTTAGTGCAAACCAATATTCACCCATGTAAAGAAAAAACTTGAAAATTTTGGAAAGAACTGTGGGAAAACCCAGTGGAACACAATAAAATTGCCTCCTGGATCAAAGATATTCAAACATAAGCAGCACAAAACAAAATGGAGAATATTGTAATAACAACTGATATGATTGCAAAACAAGTAAAGAAGGTCAAGAACTGGAGTGCACCTGGCCTGGACGAACTGCATGGATACTGGCTAAAACACCTGAGCAGCCTCCATCATTGCATAGCCTTTCAATTTGATGAAATGCTTCAAAATGAACAAGTGAAGAATGTTAACAGCTGGTCGAGCATACTTGATAATGAACCATCCAGGAAAGAGCACAGAACCAAGCAATTATCTCCCAATTACTTGTCTGCCAACAACATTCAAACTTTTTACAAGAATATTGGCAAATTCAATATTCAATCATCAGATGGAAAACAGTTTGTATCTGGTAGAACAAAAAGGAAATTATAAAAAAATCAAGAAGAACAAAAGATCAGCTGCTCATTGACAAAATGGTACTAAAAATGCAAAATGAAGAAAAATGAATTTAAATACGGTGTAGATTGATTACAAGAAGGCATTTGTCTCATTACTCCACAGCTGGATTAATGCCTGTCTGGAAAACCTTGGAATCAGCAAAAATATTTATACATTTTTGAAAGCAAATATGCAAAAATGGAAATCAGTTCTAACAGCAAATGGGGAGAACATTGGTGAAGTCAACCTCAGATGAGAAATCTTCCAAGGGAACTCACTTTCACCACTATGTTCTACATCACATTAATTCCACTGACAATAATCCTACAAAACACAACACTGGGATACTAAATCTCAAGCCAACATGGCAGGATAAACCATCTACTATACATGGATGGCTTAAAATGTATGTGAAAAGCCCCACTGAACTTAAATCAATACTCAACCTAGTTCAACTGTTCAGCAACATCAAAATAAACTTGAAAAATGTGCTATATTATGAAAAATGAGTGAGGAAAAATGGAAAAAAATAGAAGGAATAGAACTGGGAAATGGAAGCATAATGAAAGCATTAGGAAAGGATGACTGGATACAAATACCTAGGCATATTGGATGTAGGTAACATTTTGAATGGAAAAGTCAAAGAGTCAATGCAAAAGGAATACATCAGAAGGATCTGCAAAATATTAAAAACAAAGCTGAATGCTGGAAACATAATTAAATCCATTAATACATGGACAGTTCTAGTCATACGCTACCCAGCTGGAATCATCAACTGGACTTTGGCTGAACTGAAAAACTTGGACCAGAAAACACACAAACTTTTGAATATGTACCATGTTTTACATCCACAAAATGACACTGACTGGTTGTACCTGCCAAGAAGAATATGGGGCAGAGGACTATTGCAAATCCATCAAACTGTAGAAGAAGAAAAATAAAGTATGAATGTCTATGTGAATCAAAGTACAGAAAAATTGCTGCAGACTGTGAAAATGGAGAACATTATAAAAACAACAGAAACAAAGGCAGAATACAAGGAAAAACAGCTGGATGACAGATTAAATGGATGGAAAACAAAGCTTTTGCACTTGAAAAACATTGAAAGAAAATGTGATAACAACTTGACATGGGAATGGCTTAAGATGGGAACCATCCAGAAAGAAACAGAAAATTTAATACTGGTTGCTCAAGAACAAACACTACAAACCAATGCCATGAAAGCAAAGATCCACTGACAATCCAAACTGCCAACTTTGCAATGACAAAGTCGAAAATGTTTCACATTTAATATGTGAGTGCAGCAAAATTGCACAAACTGACTACACAGTTAGACACAATCAAGTTTCTAAATTAATCACTGTGTCATTGTGTAAAAAATACACCCTACCAGTATCCGAAAAGTCATGGGAACATAAAGTGGAAAAAGTTATCGAAAATGAGAATGTTGAGAAACCTGTGGGATTTTCGAATACAGGCAGATCATCATTTGGAACACAACACACCAGATATCATAGTTGTGAAAAGCGAAGCATACAATTTATTGCTATCGCTGTACCAGGAGACACCAGAGTCGAAGAAAAAGAACTGGAAAAAATCACAAAATATTGAGACCTGGCCATCAAAACTACATGGTTATGAATGAAACAAGTGATAGTGATACCCATTGTCATCAGGGCATGTCCAAGAATTTTATAAAACACATCAAGAAATTGCAGTTTCCTGCAATAACACCTGCAGAACTGCAAAAAAATGTGCTACTCGGAACATCATATATTTTAAGAAGATACTTGGTTGATACCTAGGACACAGGCAGCAACCCATGTCAACCATTAGCACCAGTCACTGGTATTTGTGATACATTTTTAAATGTTCAATTGACTGAATTTAAGGAATAAAAGACATGATGATGATGATGATGATGATGATGATGATGATGATGATGATGATATCAAGTCTTTAGATATCAGAGCTTAAAATGTTTTAGTTTGGGGAATATTTTGAGTCATTAAAGCAATAGTACTGGTTTTCTCTAAGAAAACAGTTCTACATACATTTCCTTGCAAAGTCAGGAATAGTTTTTAAAATAGCTACACAACCCTTGTGAATATACATCTGCTTTAACAATTGCAAGTGAAGAACATTTTTCACCCACCTGAACATTGAACCCTCTTCCCTTTTTAAATTAAATCGAAAAAAACACACAAAAAACACTCATTATCACCACTGTTTTTTAAACTATTTTATGTTAATATTTTATGCCAAAACCATGCTGAACTTAAACATAATATAATATAGTTTAATATAATATGGAATAATATAGTTTTCTTGGAACAAAATTAGATCAAATTTCAAATTTTGGGATATGATAATTGAGCAAGCTTTTAATGAAGAACATGTAATTTATAACAGTTGAATTGAGTTTATTCCTTTTCCATGTATTAGAATCTTATTTGCTTCATTTTGTGTGAAGGTGTGGCATCCTACAAATAGGAGACAGAATACTGGCTATAAATGGGATCCTAACTGAAGATAGTACATTTGATGAAGCTAATCAGCTCCTCAGAGATTCTTCTATCACTAGCAAGGTGACTCTGGAAATTGAATTTGATGTTGCAGGTATGAGTAGTTGAGTATTCCATATACTAAAATGGTGAGAATTTAATCCATTTGAATTAGTTATCACACATACATAGACAAATTTCTTTTTTTTGCAAATAATTTTTTAATTTTATTTCTTTAAATACATCTTTAGGTGAACAGTGTGGTTCCAGACTTTTTATTTTTTAAATCAAACCTGACCATAATCACAGATACAGCTTTCTTGTCTAATTTCGCAATTATTTCACAATAGACAATTTTCCTTTCCTACATTACTTTAAATCGTTCTCTTTATTCTTAATCATTCTCTATATTCATTGATCATATATTCTTATATTTGTCATATTTGCAAATTTTATCAAATCATGTCATTCACAAATCCATCTTAATTTATATTATCCATTATTTTATCCTCTTTTTAATATTACTTTTGCCACTGTTATATATATCTCATGCACACCCTTCCTTCTAACTTCATATATCTCATGCACACCCTTCCTTCTAACTTCATCACATTTACACAAATTATATTTTCTATCTTATTTTCATTTAGCCAATTATATAAACAAATAACAATATAATCATTTTATGCTATATTACCTTATACAAACATTATCTTATACAAACAAGCAACAGATTATATAATCCATTAAGAATATTATCATATTATATATATATATATATATATATATATATATATATATATTTTCTGAGGTTCTCGCGGGTATTTGTATGTGGATCTTTGGTTGTTCGGGTTTTCTCCCGCGTAAGATTCGAAGTATCTAGGCATAAGATATTTCGAATCTTACGCGGGAGAAAACCCGAAAAACCAAAGATAGATAGATAGATAGATAGATAGATAGATAGATATTTTCTCTATCAGATTCCACATGGTATTTCCTTCCCCATATTACTTATAAATTTCTTTTTTAAAAAAATAAACTTTATTGAATTTTATTACATTAAAAACATAAAAAATATATAATAACAGCTGTTTGTGGTGCTTATCATGAGTCCAGGTTATCTGAGAAACGACTCACTCTGACTGTATTAGCCCAGCCACTCATGCCAGCAGAAAGGACATGATGTGGCCTCTGTCAACAAAGGAATTTTGGCAGGCTATGTCCAGTAGAAGAGTCTATTCTGCTGTTGGCTCTTGCATTCTGGAACATCTTGCCCCCAAGTCAGATCCACTCCCATTCTCTGGCCTTCTGAAATTAGTTTGGGCTCTAATTGGGATGTGGCATATTGAGGGTGTATAATGGAATAAAAAATACCCCACTTTTTCTCTGTGTACATTTTGCTCCTTCCCTCTCCATCCTGCTTAGTTTGATTTCAATTGAACTTTAAATTTAAAACTTTTATTTATTGTTTGAATGCTTTATTCTGTATTTTATTCAATATCTATAAATTGCCTAGTAACCTTTGGCAAGATAGGTGGCATACAAGTTTCATTGATAAAATAAGTAAGTAAATAAGTAACTTTAGGTACTGCTAAATATGAGCTAAGAATGGATAAGATTTAAAATATATATAAATGAATAGGATTAAGATTACTTTTTAACCTATAATAGTATATGAAATAATATTATAAATGTTTATAATAATTGACTGAATTATCATTAAATTCAGACTGCTGATGTTTTGTAGCATCAAAATGTTAAATATTTGGAACGTACTGGTTATCTTAATTCTTTATGCAACAGTAGTAACATTTTACTTTTAGATAAGTATTTCAGTATGTTGAAAGGGTTTTTCTAATAATTACAGTGTACAATTAATTAAATCAATGTTGATCTTTAAAATGTTTAATATTTATGTGATATTATTATATGTTAAAGTTTCCTTTTCTACTTTTCAATCCTTTACCTTAATAATCTATGATATATGATATTTTATATCACTAACCTAAAATATAGTTCAAGATTTGCTTTATTTATTTTTTTGACTCAGAGTTGTGAATTGCTTGAATAAGTATATTATATATGAATTATGAAAATGCAATGAATGGAGTTCATTATAAATGAATAAATGAAGCACCTTTTAATTACAGAATCTGTCATACCAAGTAGTGGCACTTTTCATGTAAAACTACCAAAGAAGCATAATGTAGAACTTGGCATCACCATAAGTTGTAAGTGAAGTAAATTTCTTTTCATCATCTTTTCTTTATAATATTGCTTTTCAGTAGAGAATTGTAACCTGGTGCTATATAATTTATCTTGCTCTGTCAGACTAGAGTTATTGTTGCTATTGTTGCTATTATTACTGTTATTATTGTTATTCAAGCTGGAATCTACTATATCTTTCTTTTTGTAAATATAGTCAGTGTTATTTCTAGCATAGATGAAATGTAAAAGAAATTATAAGCTTAGTCCTGCTGGAGAAAAGTTGAGGCACAAAATATTGATACCAAGAAACAGAAATTTTCACTACTTCACTGATTTTATTTTATACATGCACACAAACACAATGTTATATATAGATGTGTGTGTGTGTGCGCGCGCGCGTGCGCACACACACACACACACACACACACACTGCTTTCCAACATGTGGAATAGGATAGTTTGAAATTTAGTAAAAAAGTGAAAAAAGTGACTTATGACCATTTGTCACACTTATGACCCATTGCAGCATCCCCACTGTCATGAGAGGCCAGGTGAGGAGAAGCGCCCCTTGACATGAGTGATGTCGAGTTGGCCATGCCCACCCAATCATATGACCACCAAGCCACACCCACCAACTAAGCCACAGCCACAGAACCGGTTGTTAAAAAAACTGAATCCCACCCCTGCATGAAAGCCAGCTAGATGATCTCGCTCAGACCACAATGTCAAGCTCATTCAATTCCTGTTGCAACCAATGGATGAACCCTTGATTTATCCAAAAAGTGGACCCTTCACTTGTGGGAAAATATTAGGAAGGAAAAAAATTAACATAAATAACATTGATTGTAAAAGACATATCTTCTTACCATGTTCCTAATTACTGGGAACTACTTAGAAAATATACTGCATAACCCAGAGACCACATAGGAACCATAATCACTTTAAGTGTGCTTGATAGACTTTTGCAAGATACTGCAATTTCTATACAATGAAACATCTTAACAAATCAAATATCTTTTTCACATTCTTACCCAGAAATAACATAGCAAGATTCAGCAAGACTTGTGTTGAATTAGACTGCTGATGTATCCTAGAATATTTTTAATGGCTATTTTCAAATGAGAAGCATCATACATTTTATTACTAGAAGGAAACAGGAGCCTGTGTAGGTACCATTTGCAGTACAAATTGTGGTGTATAGTTTAAGAAATTTTAATGGAGAGCATATAATTATTTAATTCTTTAACCTAAAATAGGAATAAAATGTCCAACATTTTTTTCTGGCTTAATTCTATACTTTTCTAGATAATTTCTCAATTATAGAGCTATTAGATTATGATTGCCAAGCTAGTGTTTCTATCTAGTATATTCCACAAACTGGATCATCCTAACCAGAGTTCCTCAATTTTATGGAGAACACTAAGCTGGGTAATCTTTGTTTAAGAATGTGAAAGGTATGAGCCATGCATATTAATGAATATATCTGTTTTAAATGAATTGATGTTTTTATGAGTATGTATGGTAGCAAACCTTTAGAATTTCAAGAAATAAAATAAAGGAAACCTTTCCTGATATATATCCACAGAATGGATCAGATACGTATGCCAAGATAACATGTATAATATATAAAAAGAAAATTGCCCTAGTATAAAACACCAAATATGCATATCCATTTAATTATGAGATGTTCTTGCTAGCATATAAAGATATATGTGTAAATGTTCTCCATAAAACATTAATGATAGATAGGGTAGCACAAAATGAGTACCCTGAAGTGCTTTAATCCCATAGAGAGAATGAATGAGGATTTACAAAAGGGAGAATGAGTAAATCATAAAACAAATATATGAATAAAAAGTGAATGGATTAAAAAGGGGAAGATCAAAATATTATTCTTAGTTGAATAAAGTTGATATCTTCAAAAACAAGACAAGTGAGAAGTTTAATGAACAAATGGCAATATGTGACATGATGTATAGTCATAGTGAACATATAGTTATTGATGTTGATGGAAACTGTTTCTAGCCAGATTTCTTTTCCTTCATGACTTCAATTTGTTTGGCTTATTATGTCTAATTTCTTTTTTACGTCATATAAAATAGCTTACCCCAAAGAGAAGGAAGGAGCATGTGGATATGCATATATGGATAGTTATAGGGGGATTATTTTGACTGCAAATATTTGTGTATTCTGTATTTCAGCTCCATCTAGTCGAAAACCAGGGGATCCTCTTGTTATTTCAGATATTAAGAAAGGAAGTGTTGCCCATAGGTGAGTGCTTACAAGGTGACAAAGATTATGTTGCGAGCTCATATTTCTCAAACTCCCTGGATTTTTAAATGTTCTGCAATTGTAAAAGCAAGTGCTTCCCTTGAGATAAAATGCTTTTATGTGCTACCTCATATATGTAAAACAAAAATCATTTTCATTCTTAAATTTTAAAAACTTTGCATGAATATCCAAATCAGCTCATTCAAAACATTAATCACATAATGTATTCCACTTATTAATAGAACTGGGACATTGGAACTAGGTGATAAATTGCTTGCCATAGACAATATTCGACTGGACAACTGTTCCATGGAAGATGCTGTTCAAATCCTGCAGCATTGTGAGGAACTTGTAAAACTAAAAATTCGCAAGGATGAAGATAACTCTGGTATTCACAGTGAGCTATGAAACATTTTATGTATATATAAAATGCCTTTGGGATGTAATATAAGTAAAGTATTCAGTGGAAAAAGTATTCAGTCATTTTCTACTATAGGATAATTTAGTACAAGCCAGTGGCTTTGGTGTTCCTATCTTGTCAGAGATTGGAGGAATAAAACCTTCTCATTAATTTCTGATGAAGGAAGAAAGTCACTTTGCTTGGATCATGTATATTTATCGCAGTTCAGTACCCATAGAAAAATGTTATACTGAAAAATGTTGCCGCAACAATTTCAGATTTTTTTAAAAAGCCAGCTATTTTATAAGACACCACATTTATTCAGATCCTCCCCCATATATACACGTGTATAAACATATACATATAACTATTTAACTCCCTTGTCAAAATGTAAAGAACCATACTAGCTTCACATTTGAGTATATTGGAATAATTAGGTGGACAGAAGATTGTAAAATATGGAGTAATTGAATCCACAATAATCTAATATGTATGTTGTATTCAAAGAAGTATAATTTTAAATATGTATATTTTTAAAATTTTTACAGAAATAAATAAATTCAGAGTAATAAGATTATGCAAGGTCTTTCACTGTTATAAAAAAAGATTGATGAAGTATTTATAACAAGAATTTTCTTCATAATGTAAATAAAAAATAATTTTTAAAACAATCATATAATACATACATGTATATGCATACAAGTAGTCCTCAACTTATGCATGATCTCGACAGCATAATCTTGATCTTACTACAGATACACAGACACACACACTCACACACACAACGTTCATGTGTTTGCAATTTGAGCACTTGGCAACTGGTTCACCTTTATGGCTATTTGCAACATCCCAATGTCATGCAATGTTCAGTTTCTGCCATTTATTTCTGGTTCCCAGAAAAAAAACATCCCTTGGGTAAAATGAATTAATTTAATAAACACAGTGTTCACTTAACACCATTGGCATTAATTTAACAACAGTGGTAATCCCTTAATGACCGCTTCAAAAAATGTCATAAAGTCAATTCCAGTCATGTGGTGACCCACTTAACAATCACAATAACTTAGTTATAACTTAGTTATTGGATTCGTATTGGAACCCATTGGTCTGATCTGCTTTTATCCCAATTTTTAAAATAACAAGAAAAGATACCAAACTAAATCCAGTTCTGATGCTGAAATCAAAACTGGTGTTCAAGTAGCAATGGCTGTCGTGTTTGGCTCAGCTTTATATTAAATTGTTGGAATAAAGGATTGTTGGATGCATTAATGGAAAATAGTAATAGCACTTAGACTTATATACCACTTCACAGTGCTTTACAGCTCTCTCGAAGTGGTTTTACAGCATCAGCATATTGCCCCCAACAATCTGTCTCCTCATTTTTACCAACCTTGGTAAAGGATGGAAGGCTGAGTCAACTTGAGCCTGGTGAGATTTGAATTGCAGAATTGCAGTCAGCTGGCAGTCAGCAGAAGTAGCTTGCAGTACTGCATTCTAACCACAGCACCACCACTGCTCAAGATCTTTGCTTTAACTTCTTAAGGACATTTCGTTATTTTAGGTACCTTTTACTGAGACATTGCATTAGCCTATTCACCTACTCCCCTGATTGTCATCACATCTAGAAAGAAATTGTATATATATTTTACAGATATATTAGATTTAAAATCCTGGCTTTGCTTCCACGAAAAAGGAAGATTTGTTGGTGTACCTGTGACTTCACCTGTAGTCATCAACATAAAGGGCAGTAATAGCTTAGATATGTATCTGAAACATAACAGTTTGAGGATGTGTATGCTGATCATTTTTCTGAATGTATTATTCTTTTCATTCCTTCTTTTATAAGAGACCAATTGCATCCTCTTGGCATGTATTGCAGATGAACAAGAGAGCTCAGGAGCAATTATTTATACTGTTGAGCTCAAGAGATATGGAGGACCACTTGGGATCACTATTTCTGGTACTGAAGAGCCTTTTGATCCTATTATTATTTCAAGTCTTACTAAAGGTGGATTAGCTGAAAGGTAAATTGACATAAAAATATTTGTAATATTCAAGTGTAAGAGGTAGTTCAACCTATGTAATAATTCTTAGGAATATATAGATTTTTTACAAGTATCACAAATGAAATAATTACCTTTAGCCTTTTTCTCTTGATATATATTATGAGATGAAGATGGTGATGATAATGGTGATAACAACAATGATGATGATTTTTGGAACATGACCTACTGTTACCGTAAATCATTAGAGATCCATCAGTGGTAAAAGAGTTTGACTAGGAATAGAAAAACCCAGATTTTAGTGTCCTTGGGCAAAAAGCCAGTTACATGACTTTGAGCCAGTCACTCTCTCTCAACTCAAAAACAATATCAGAATCTGTGTCAGACTCTGTACAAACTCCCTGAAGAAACAAGTATCTTGCTGAGTTGACAAGAAAACTAAATCACACTAGCCCTATTCCCTCCCTCCCCCCCCTCTCTCTCATACTTTCTTATACATTAATCTATTAATACATTAAACAACCAATATGATATAAGATACTCTTGTCTTATTCTGTCTTCAGTAGTGAACCATTACTAAGCATTCTGTTCTGCAGATTCTTTACTTGCATCATACTGGGTTCAACAACTAATCTTCAGTTACTCATGCAAACATTCTATATGTCATGCCTAATTCATGTTATTATACCCTTTCTCAAAATCAACAAATATACCATAAAATTTCTCACATTTATATTTTTCTGCCAAAGAGCAAAAATCTGTTCTGTACATCGTCTGCCCATCTAAGACCACACTGCAATTCTGAAATCTTGCCCACTGTCATTTCTCATATGGATTCAATGACTATTCTTCTAAACATGTTCTAGGCACATTTAACAAACTAATCTTCCAGTGGTTTTTGCATTCACATTGCTGCTTTTGAGGATTAATAACAGTGTTTTTCCTCTCTTTTTGGATCTTTTAAAATGATCACACAGTCACTCCATAAGCAAGCCACTTCTATGTTACAACATTTGTTCAGATGCACTATCTATTCCTGCACCTGCAAAAGGGAAAAGATAACATTTTCACACTGGAGAGTGTACTCCATGTCAAATCACTCATAGGAAAAAATAATGCATAAGGTTCATGATAATATCAGAGGTATTACTACTCTGATTGTTACTGCTAATTGTCTCTCTGTCCACATCAACAACATTCCTATTCCTTCCATGCTAACACATATCTTGAAGTAAAAAGTTGCATCCTTTAATATTATGTACTGATACAAGTACAAAGTAAAATAACTGTTAACTTTAGTTTACATATTACTTTGATAGAAACTGAGCTCTTTGCTGGTACAAAGATAGCTGGTTCTATGTTGTCTATCAGCTTACAGTCATAATGACAAGATCTTTAAAAGTATAATTAATGTTACTACACATACATAAATTACATTTTAAAATAAAAGCAGGGGGAAATTGTGTTTTTTTCTTAAATTATGTTAAATGCTTTGCTCAGATTATTTTTCATGTTTTATTTAACTCATGTTTCAGGACAGGTGCAATTCATATCGGAGACCGAATCTTAGCAATAAATAGTAACAGTCTGAAAGGGAAACCTTTGAGTGAAGCCATTCATTTGTTACAGATGGCAGGAGAGACAGTGACCTTGAAAATAAAAAAGCAGACAGATGGTGAGTATGTCAGGTATTCCACTTATGCTTTTTCTGCCATATCAGGAATATATTGTGCATATATTTTATGAAAGTGACATTTGCCCGTAGTATCTATTAGATATTTAGGACTATAGAAATAAATCCATGTTACATAAAATTAGAAATGTGGTGATTTTAAAAAGAGCATTTATTGCAAAGGACAGCAAAAACAATGAGACAGCGTTGCCCAAAAGTTAATCCCATTTATTGTTTATAATTTTTGTGTAATATTCAACATTGGAAAGCAGTAGTCTTGCTCATTTTGATACCTGGTTAGTTTTCAATAAAATGGTTTCTAAAGAACATGAGAAAAAAGAAAAGGTACAATGATGGAATAAGCTTAAGCACCTTATACAGTACATGTTCAACCTAGAAAGAAGAAAAAAGTACAGCAATGAATTATTCTTTTAAGCCTTGTTAAAAAGAAAGAAAGGAGTCCTTTTGGGGAACTGCAGAAGGCCCTGTCCCTTTATAAAGCACACAGAAAGTTGGGAGTATCTAATTGCCCAGAACCGCAATCTGTCTACTGGACCCAAAATTCATAATAAAGTTAATCAAGATAAGCCTTTTCCAATATTTACTAAGTTATAAAATAATGAATAATAAAGGAAAGCATGAAGAGTTACCTTATTAACGCTAGAATACATAAAATATTTCAACCGTTTATTTATAAGCTGTAAGAACTAGTAACAGGATATCAAGTCAGTAAAGAATATGGAAAAATGTTTCTGATTAATAAATTAATGGACTTGCTTGTTGCTACCTAAGTTCTCAATATTTATCTAATATACTTGTATTTACTAACTTTCCAAACTGTCTCAACAGATATTTGAACATATTGCTTGCACTGATTTCACCCACCATTCTATATTATGCTGCTTGTGCCATGCATTTTTAAAGCAAAAGCCTCTAACAATAGTAAATACAGTTAAACTAGTAATAGCTTAGAAACCTCTGGGGCTCAATGAGGATTTGTAGTTCATTTGGTGTTTTCGCTGACTTTTTTTAATGTGTATTTTGTAGTATTATTCTACAAACTTAATATCCAATCATCAGTTATCTAGTGGTGTTAGACATGTAGATGTATTCCTTACATTGCACTAACTTTTGGCTCTGTGAATTGTTGCTTTTGATACACCGATATTAATTATAGATATCAGTTATTACAATGTATTGCGAGTTCCAACAACATTTGTTGTTCAGATAGATTAAAACAGGTAGTATAACAGTGTATGTTTCTGGGTAGCTGCTACAGACACACACAAACACCATGCACACACACATACCATGTATATCGGGGTAAGATTCTACCTGGTTGCACCAGTTCTATAGAACCGGTTGTTACGATTCTGCACAGTTTGGAGAACTAGCAAATCGCACCATTGGCTGGACCCGCCCTGCCCTGCCCAGTCACTCCTTACCTGGCATGCACGCCATCCAGCTTGCCTGCTAAGTTGCTGTTTTTCCCTTACTTTTCCCCCGACCATCAGCTGTTCCGACCATCAGCTGTGCCAGGAGATTTAGATTAGCTAGAACGCAGGAAATCAATGGATTTCTTGCTTTCTAGCTAATCTAAAAGCAGAGGTGAACCTTCCTAGCATCTATTTTTCAGTGCAGACTCAGCAGATTGCAGAAATGTAGATCTCTAAGCGAATCTGTGATTTTGTGAGCAACTCAATCTACCTGCCTGCTTTGGCTGATTTTGGGTAAAAGTTGCTCTTTTAAAAAAAATAAAAAAATCAATATGTACATAAATATTTACAATATTTACATACAAGCCATGCCCAGCCAGTCACATCACCAAGCCATGCCCACAAATTAGGCCATGCCCACAGAACCGATTGTTAAGAAATTTGAATCCCACCCCTGGTAAAATATAGTGTGCTGTTCATCCGGGTTGCGAATAAGAGGGAAACAAGCCCTCACGAAATCCTCGACATGAGAGTTTATTTGTTCGTCCACTTCTCCAGTTTGGGTAACAGCGAACAAGCTTAATTAAAGTCAGCTCTGGTGCACACCGCAGCCAGAGCTGTATTTATACATTTATTGAAAAGATAATTAGTTTAGCTACCATCCGGTAGCATCTGCTGCTCAACATCCGGCAGTTTCACAAATCCGCATATTTCTTCCATACAGTTGTGCCATGACCACCCACACCCCTTGTAGCCATATAATCCCACAAAACCTCATCACCACGGTACATATATCATTTTTCCCCCCTTGAATCTGGTACAACTTCCACCACCCAGCATGTCCGCCGCTCTGTTATCCGCTGCAGCAGGCTGGCGTCTGACGTCATTGGCAGGATCCTGCTGTTCGTCAGCAACCAGGATTCCACAACATGCCCGCTATCATCCAGGGTTCATTCCAAACGCTGCAGAGGGTGGACAAAATGGCACAGCTTCAGAAGTCATGACATATAGTTTCTGACCTTACAATGTATGCCTTTTCTAATAGAATTGACTACTGCAGACTAAGCTGCAGGATCAACTAATATGGAAACAGGTTCTTTCTGTATTATACTGTACCTCATCTTTGTTCAAATACAAAGAAAATAAGACTGTTCAAAGCATGTGAAAAATGTTCCTTGTCATGCACAGAGACCAAAAAAGTACTTGAAACACTGAAGCAGCTATGTGCTTTAGAAAACTTACATAGCTGCTTTAAAAGCTGCTTCTGGCCAATTCCCCATGGCTATTCCCATCAAAGCAAAGTGGCTGGCCATAGATATATATGTGGAGACTGTTGACAGAAACTCTGAAGCCACTGCACAAGCCTTGCTAAAGATCCAGCTGCTTTAATGGTGCCAAAAGAGTTGTTTTGCTTATGCACATAAGTAGTGTGATATATCTTATTTGAATGTGTTACACAACTCTGTTAGATACTTGACTCCCATCAAGCTGACTGTGAGTCAAGGAGAGAGGGCCTTTCCATAAATATAATTAATGAGACTCTACTTGTCTAAGCTTTCTATTGGAAAAAATGGTTTTCTATGCACTTAAGATGAATGTATATTTAAATTTATAATGAATGTATAACACGTCTTCCTTTCTATCAGCATCAAGTCCCAATAAATTTTCTGCCTCTGGTCATACAAATGAATTAAGCGATGCTGAAGATGATACAGCCACCACACAAAAACCAGGCAAGCTATCTGAAATCTATTCCACGACTGTCCCAAGTGTGGACAGTGCTGTAGAATCATGGGATGGCTCTGGAATGGATAACAGTTATGGAAGTCAAGGTAGGAATCATGTGTTTATTCTGATGTACTTAGTATGGGAACATTCAGGAGTGAGGCTATTAAACCTTCTTGCTATGTTTGAGAGGCAAACTCACCTTTTAACTGTCTTATGAAAATCTCATTAAAACTGCAGTTTTAATGTGCTAATTCTTGTCTTCAGCTGATCTTGATTTCATGTCACTGTGACAAGTTTTAAACATAAAGTAATATACTAAGAACCTTCTGCTGGTTTTACTAATGTTTCAGTGACTAGCTTATAGCTCACCCATAGCTAAATGGGTTTATCCTTCAAGCTTAAATTAATATAAGATGCAGAACAGATTGAAGGTATTCATTGATATGAACATCTGAGGCCCATTCATTGTTCTTTTTTAACCTGACTAGTAAAGATTTATTGTAAACTGCCAAAGGGGAGCATAAAAAAACATCATTGCTTTGTTGCCCTTTTATTTCTCCTTCATCCTTTTGACATTAAGATGTCAAGAGGCTTTCTAAGTAAGAACAGTTTTCAACAGTAGCAAGATTCTTTTAAAAGAAATATACATACTTAGCATTTAGGATTTAATTATTATTTTAACCATTGTCATTTAAATTTTGAACATAATTTTGATGCATAACTTGAAAGTCTTGGTTTGGAAATGTACAAATATTGTAATGTTTTAGATGGAAAATCAAATAACTGTTTTATATATTGACTTTAAAGTATATTAAGATAAGAAATGTCAAAAGGTTGGGGTTTTGGGGTGGGGGTCGCTGCTTTTTAGCTTCACACATTTCTTTTCATTATTTCTTAAAGCAGCATCAAAATGAGCTGTTCCTTATAAAGCTGAATGTCTAATTTTTTTAGTCCAAATTCCCAATTTTGTAAAAATACATTAATAGATTTGATTTTTTAAAATTTGGGTAGAAATTATGCTGCTTTTAAAAAACATGTTTATAGGTGTAATTTACAAATACTTCGTGGTGGTGGAATGGTTAGAATGCAGGATTGCAGGCTAGTTCTGCTGGCTGCCAGCAGTTCATCAGTTCGATCCTCACCTGCTTAAGGTTGACTCAGCCTTCCATCCTTCCGAGGTTGGTAAAATGAGGATCCAGATTGTTGGGGACAGTATGCTGACTCTGTAACTCTTAGAAAGAGCTATAAAGCACTGTAAAACAGTATATGTCTTAAGTGTTATGCTTAAACAAATTTAATTTAATAACATTATCATTGATAAACTGATCTTGCAATAGGGTCTGTCTTCCAAACAGATACACTTAATTTTATGCAATTCAGAAATTAATGTAGCAGGAAATTAATATATCTAAAAACACTGAGATTATAATACCAATTATATATATATAACAATGTGAAATGCCATGGGAATACAGGGGAATTTCACAGGGATGCCAGGGGAAGGAAGACTTCCTATGAGTACAGAGGGGCTAGGAGACTTAACGTTGTGACTTGCAACCTTCCCTAACAGCTTCCCCATTGACTTTGCTTGTGAGAATCCAACAGGGAAGATAGCAAGGTAGTGTGACCATAGGGCACTGTAATCATTGTTAAGTGTGAGCTGGTTGTGGAGTGCTAGAATCACAATCACATGACCATGTGGATGGTGCAATAGCCAGAACTTAGAGGACTGGGTGTAGGTATCACATGTTCGCAACCTCAAACAGTGAATAAGTGATTGGTAAACAAAGGCTACCTGTATATATACAGAAAAAATATCAATTTGATCAGAAATAATTAAAAGCCCTATATTTAAAGGATTTGAACTTGATGCCAGCAAAATAGCAGAAACCTCTCTGAATGATGTGATATAACCCTCATGCTGAACATCATGCAGGCAAAACACTTATAGGAAGAGAAATATAGGAAAAGAAATATAATGAAATATGATTCTAATGAGTGAATAGGAATAGCAGGATACAATTACAAAGAATTTGGAAACAACAGAAAAAAAGAGTTACTTAGGGAATATTGGCTCTACTAGAACAATCAGACTAAGTACTACCATAAACTATATACTGTATTTAGTTCAAGCTGCCTAGAAGTAAATAAATAAAGTGTATGTCTCTGGCTATTCTATATAGTAATAAACCCCACAAATAGATCAAGATAGACAATTCTCAATCTATTTGTATTGCCGTAGTATCTTGAAATTGCAAGATAGATTACTTTTGGCAGGAGGACTTTTTCCTTTAAAAAAACATAAGAAATCAGAATAAGTGGCCTTTAAGAAGCAAATCTCTCCCATTCTTAAACCACTAATACCATCAGGATTTAAAATTATATTTTGGGCCATCCCAGAAGGGTTTTTAAAGTGTAGACACTGAAGTGATTTGCTCTCAGAGATTTTCCATGAATGAAAGGGAAGGGAAGGGAAGGGAAGGGAAGGTCGCCACCACTTCTGTTAATATTGCCTGCCAATTTCCTTCTGGTCAAGTGAATTGTGGCTCCCATAAAACTTCCCCATACTTTCTATATGATGAAAAGATTTCAAATAGCATTGATTTCTTGGTAGTATTGTGTACGACGTGCAGAAATGAGAGCAGTCAACATAGCCTGAAATGGAAACATATATTGTTCATAATAAGATTGTTTTTAAGAGTATAACATAATTTCAGTTTACCCTTCCAAAAGAATTCAGGCATATAACTACAAGTTAATTCTAGCTGATATTTATAATCCACATATATTTGATACAATAAATAATAGCTAAAATCATACAATGGTTGAAAGAATAATTTGACATTAGGTTTTTTTATTCTACATAGTCAACTGTAATCAACAGATGGTTACTTTTTTAGGTTCCAATTATCAGGCTTCAGGATACAACTTCAATACCTTTGAATGGAGAAGTCCAAAACAAAAGGGTAGTTTATCTCCTTTGAATAGGCCCCGGGTCAACTCTTTCCATGATACAGGGTTAAGTGATGATGACTGGGATAAACCAGTAGCAAGTAGGTAAGTACTGTGCTACATACTGAATTATTTACTACATAGTAGCACATTCTTTTGTTGGTGTACTTCTTAGCTTCAGATATGGAGGCATGTAGGTGTTTTTAAGCAGGGACCTGTTTGCAACTCTAGAAGAGGTACAGCCACTTCAGAGTTTCAGGCAGATGCAGCATTTGCCTTCCCTCAAAGCACCTTTTTTGTCTCTGAAACTAAAGTACTAAACAGACTTATCACAGATTGCCAAGGACTTCAAAATGCCCAGTTATCAATTTATCTTCAAGTTGCTAAGATATATTGACAATTCGTGCTATATGATATTAGCAATATTCAAGACATGCGGTAAGGCTGATAGCAAGTTGTGTGCAGTTAGTGAACCTTTATGTGTAATAGTATAGGTCATTAACTGTTGATATTAATTCAAAACTGAAAGAGCTCTGTGTATTGAAGGAAGTTTTAGTTTACATCTCTTGTCTTGATGGATCAGTCTCAGATTCATCCTTCAATACTTAGGAGGTTTCACTTTGATTTCCGCATAAATCAGTAAATATGATACTGTGGTATAATACTGTGAAGAAGGGACACAGAGACAACTAAAAGATATGGCTGTGTTGATATCAGTGCTACAATTTTCTAAGGGGCAACCTTTGGATGTGGTTTCAATTTTTAAATGTTAGTAGTGATAGTATATCACTTAGACATTTATCATCACCAGCTAGAAGTTTAATTAACCTTATTTAGACACCTGATTTGGACAAATTTATATTCAAGCTTTGACTTCTTATTTTGTTAAGATAAATACATGAGGGTCTCTTGAATCAGTATTCACATTATGGTAGCAGAGCCATATCTTTAAATATAAATTTGTCACATTTATATATCAACATATGTGGCCTTTAAGTCAGTATTGACTCCTGGTGACTACATGTACAGGTCTATGCAGTTTACTTGGCAGGATTTTCCAAAAGTGGTTTTCCCTTGCCTTCTTCCTAGGGAGATAGTAACATGGACCAAAGTCACTCAGTTGCTTTCATATCTAAAGGAGAATTAGAACTTATGGTCTCCTGGTTTCTACCCTGCTGCCTTTAACACTATACCAAAATGGCTCTCTATATGATAGCGGTAAAAAGATTTACACTTCAAGGTCCTGAACCAATCCCAATATCTAACATTTTGTAATGCAGCCCCTTCCATTGACAAATTTTTCCTTGCTAGGTTTCTTCTAATATAACTTCAATTGAGAATTAAGCCCAGCTGAGGAAAAAAAGTATCAAGAGTGATTTAGTGCTTCTGCCCATATGATTTGGCTATTTTGCCATATATTAGATATAGTTTAGATCTATGTAAAAAGATTTCTGTGTTCTAATTGTCATCATTCTTAATATATATTCAAAATTCTATTGACACTTCAGCTCTTTCTCCACTCCTTATGTTGCTTTAAGTTTTACATAGACATCACTATTGCTGATTTCACCATTACAGTCAAATCAGTACAGTTAAATATAGAAAGTGTTGATATTAATTATAGATTAATGAACTATAAGAACTTACTTTGTGTAATTTTGGGATTCATATATAATTTCTGCTGGTGATGACAAACACTTTTGAGTCAGATCCAAACTCTCGACAAATAGAAATAAACCAAGATTATTAATCCTGGCATTTATTCCAATGCTATTGCCGAGTACTTATTTATTATATCATGTGTCTATCAGTTTAATCCACTAGATACTAACCAGCTTACCCACATACAGTCATAAAAACAAAAATCTAATTAAGATCATATAGCAAAATTAAAAACAAGTCCAAAAGGCATGTATTGCAATTTCCATACCTTATCCAGATTTGGCATCTGAGTAGAAGAGTTCAAAAACATCCTCTTCATCTAAAATTTTCTGTAATTGCAATCCAACCATTTCTTCTAAAATATTCCTTAAAAAGGAGGAGTGGAGAGTAGGCTGGAATAGTCCAACACTATTGGAGCAAGTGATGTCTTCTTTAGAAGGTAAGAAACCAATGCCTCTAAGACAGAAGATACCATCCTGTCTCTGTTCAAATCACTAGGTTAACATCACAAATCTAATTATACTCACATCCTCAGCCAACTGAAGGACACATGGAGCCTAGAACGAGCCTACAGGTGAAGGAAATCATACAAGGAACCATGTCTACTTTCTAAAAAAACTGCAAATTGAAATGAAATCTCAAATAATTTTACAAGATGATGGTCATCTCCCTAGAATATGTTCCTTCCTAATGGAGTTCAAGTTTGAGCACATTTATTTATTCTACTTTTATGCTGCGATTCCTAAAGATACCCAGAACAGCTAATAGTGTCAACATGGAATAAAACAATAATCCCCAATCTGAACACATATGAAGAGTAGAAAAATAAAAAAGATTTTTGAAGTAGATAATATAAGTATCATTGGACTAGAGACCCCAGCTTCATGTATAATACACCCTCTTTCTGTGCCAGGCAGAACAGGTTAGTCTTCAATATTTTCCTGAAGCTTAAGAGAGACAATGTTGATTAGGACTCTGTCCAGAGGGGTTCCAAAGAATAGGACCAGCTAGTGAAAATGTCCATTTCTGAGGCCATACCATATGACAGTCCCATACAGACAAAATCTGGATGGAGTTATCCAAATTTGATGTTAGTTGAACTCTATGTAGGGCCTTAAAGGTGACAACCAGCCCTGTAAATCACAATTGGAAGCTGACTGACAAGGTCTCAAATTCATCCATCACAGCCCAGATTGCTACTTTCTGTACTAGGTGCAGTTTTCAAATGCTCTTTAAGGGCAGTTCCTTATAATAATACCAACAGGAAGTGTGCAGGGCATGAATGACTCTGCACAGGGCTTCTGGTTCAAAATGATCATAATTGGGGCACAAGATATAGCCATACAGAAAGTGTTCTAGCTAGGATGCTAGGAGAAACCCCAAATTCAAACTTCCATACTCAGAATCAGTAATAGAATTTACCTGGAATTGTTACATCCACGAATCCAAAGAAACACAGATTTGGAGGGATTCCATGGAGTCTATTCTTCTCCATTCAGAACCTGATAACTTCCAGGCTTTGGATCAGCACTTCTAGCATAGCGTTTCTGCCCAGGATTAAGATGTAAAGCTGGTTATAATCCATATATTGATGACACCAAGTCTCATACCATTAGAATACCATTAGAATACCAATGGGATAAACCATGTTAAGAACAAGAAAAATGTTAAGGAAACAATTGGTCCATTAGTGGGAGAAAGTAGCAAGAAGGTGACAAGCAACAGGGAGAAAGCAGAACTACTCTACAGAACTACAGAACTTTCTCCCAGGATTTCCTGTAGTTGTTAAAAAGGAATGTAAGGAGAGAACTATGAGGCACTCCACAAAGTAGAGGTCTCATGGCAGGTCTCTCTTCTCCCACTACCACCAACCTTTACTTCAGGAAGTAGAACAACCAATACAAAACAATACCTCTCACTCCAATTCATTGGAGATGGTCCAGAAGAATACCAAGCTCTATGATACTAAATGCTATACAAAGTCAAGGAGGACCAAGAAAGTTATACTCGATCTTAGCCTTTCCAATGGTTATCCATAAGTGCAGTCTCCATTCTGTAACCTGACTTGAAACCTGAATGCCAAGACTCTGGACATTCTACTTTCTGTAGGGCTTTGTGAATTTGCAGGACCACCACTTTCTTCACAATCTTCCTTGAAAGGAAGGTTAAAGATAAAGTTACCCAAAACTTAACAGATTGAATGAAAGATGCTTGATTAGGAGATGTAGCATTCCTGATTCAACAAAGCATTGATAATTGCTCAAATGCCTGCCACCCCAAATATGACTTTGCATCTTTCCTTATCTTCATAATTTCTGCATGCTTCTAACTCCACAATGTATAGCAGGTAGAATGAAAGAATGCTAAGAATAAAAGCAGTGAAAGTGAGTGCCCAAAAGAAAAGCAAACCAGAGGCTTGTTATTTTTGGAGATCTGATCATTTATCCATTTGTCTTGCAAGATATTGTTACTCATTTTATATTTCACATTTGTATAACTGGAGACAGAGAGAGAAAAACGGAGAGGAAGAGATTTTCAGTACAATTATTTTTTTACATTAACAGCAGTTTGGGTCAAGTCAGCACAGACCTCTTATAAATTCTTATACCAGTCACTCCACAGTCCAGTTCAGCTGTGTCTCCTCTGCCTTGATATCTAGCTTCCACCTGAAAATCCTTGTTGTTATTTTGCATTGCAAGCATTTCTTGTGAAACTCATTGTGTTGTTCTCTATAACTTTAGAAACCTTTCTCTGAATCTAGCTTTACAGGTGTCTCTCAGCCTGACCAGGAGGAAAACTTCTGGTCCCAAGCACTGGAAGATTTGGAGACTTGTGGACAGTCAGGAATTCTGAGGGAATTAGAGGTAGACGCAATCTACTCCTTCATAATAGACCAATTTCTTTTTTCAATTAACACTCATTTTTGTTGGGTTTTTCCCCTCCTTTTTTCTAAGTTTGCATTAATCTCACAAAATCATTTTAAAGCTTTAACCCCTTTCCACAGGACAAGGTTGACAGGCGTCTGTATTTGAGAAACATGGCTCTCTTGGTACTTACCCTTTAGTGTTTATATTTTTGCTTGCATAGCTGCCTTTGCTAACCCCACAATCAAGCAATTATCTTCCATGGATCTGCTGCTGAAATGTGTGTGAGCAAAAGCTTCTCCTATGCTACTTCTGGCTGCATTTGTTTGCAGGCTTACTTTGCCTTACCAGCACACATCCCATTCTCTTCTAGCTGCTTTTATAAAAGTTTTCCTGGCATGTATCTCTTGCAACAGAACTGAATTTGAATTATAGGGAACATAAATGAAAACAAAATTTCTACACATTTTTACAATTAGATTCACTTCATGAACTAATATAGCTACAAAAGATTTATATATTCTGTGGGATTTTTTTTTTGCTGTTGCAATCTGATGTTAATCACAGTTACATATGCCATATTAACTCTGCACTCAGTTATTTTACTTCAAAAAAAGAATAACTAGAAGCTTAAAAAAAACTTGGCTATACAGGTAGTTCTCAACTTACAACCACAATTGAGCCCAAAATTTCTGTTGCTAAGCAAGACATTTGTTAAATGAGCTTTGCTCCATTTTACTACCTTTCTTGCCACAGTTGTTAAGTGAATCACTGCAGCTGTTAAGTTAGTAATGCAGTTGTTAAGTGAATCTGGCTTCCCAATTGGCTTGCTTATCAGAAGGTCACAAAAGGTAATCAAATGACCCAGGACACTGCAACAGTCATAAATATGAATCAGTTGTCAAGCATCTGAATTTGGATCACGTGACCATGGGTTTATAAGTCATAAGTCACTTTTTTCAGTGCTATTGTAACTTTGAAGGTCACTAAATGAATGGTTGTAAGTATATTCCTTAATTACATAAAAAAAAACATCCTTAGTTTAATTTTTTAGAAGGTTGAGTCTGCAAGAATTTTCTTTTATGTTCTTTTAAATTCCCAATGTTGCAAAACCGTAAAAGTCTCGTTCCATTGTTATGTCATATGGAAATTAGAGAGTCATCACAATGAATGTGAATGGTATTGACAAGATAAAAATCATGCTACTCAAGTTGGCTGCATAGCCTCAGATCCGTAGCTTCCATATTGCATGCCTGTTATTTTAATGTGGACATGTTTTATATTTAATTGACATTCTGAATACTTTGGAGAAATGGCTTGTCAGTTTGGTTTACTTCAGCCTAAGGCATGTAGCTCAAGCTTCTCTTATGGATTTTCTTCCTAAGAGCACAGCAAATGGATATGGAAATAGAATGAATATTTCAGTAAGTTGAGAATTTTTTTCATTTAAGAAGCCCTTTAAAAAGTGAAAATTAATTGGGTATAGGTATTATCTTACTTATATTTCAGTCTTTGGGACAGTTTTGCAAATTAATCGTTTCCTACCAGTCTATCCTTAACTTTCATTCCTCTCAAAGTAGATCTAATGTTTTTTAAAATTATTATTTTGGTAGTAAGGAATAATGCTTAAAGAATACATCAGAAACTAAACATTTTTAAAAAATAAATTAAACACTAAATTTATCGCTTTATTACAAATCAGAGGAAATACTGGAAATAAAAATACATCTTTATATATGTAATGAGAACTTTGGTTGCTAAATACAATTAAGACAGTATATTATGAAAGTGTAGAATAGATAAGAATTTTAGTGAATGGTTTAGCACTGAGCAGGGAGTAAGACAAAGGTCTGCAATGTCTTCTTGGTTGTTAATGTTTTCGGTTCATAGCTCTGAAAATTAAAATACTGAAAAGCAAAGTAGTTGTGTTTGTTGGGGAAATGGAGTGAATGATTACAAATTATATGTAACAAGAGTAAATTGATAAATGTGTGGGAATTATATAGAAACATTAAGATTACAAGTGCTGTTGGAAAGCTAATGAATAATATATTATGCATTATGATAACCAAAGGTTTGCCAAAGGAAGCAAAGTTGACTATATATAGGAGTGTGCTTCTGTCAACTTTGCTATGCTGAAGTGAGAGTTTGATATGTCAGATGAAACACAATTTAAATGTAGTGTGAATGGTGATGCTACCAATGTCTTGTCTGGAGGCTATGGAGGAGGAACAAGCTAAAGTTTAAGCCTGCCAAGACTAAGAACTTGTGAGGTTTTGGACACGTACATACCCCAAACTGGAGTTATTTCATATTTAATCTTGTTTGGAATGACAGACTACCAGCACCACCCAAAGAACTGGTGCACTACTTCTTGGACTCAGTTACTGTTCAAGGAGCAGGTGGCAGTGAGACAAAAAAAGGCCTTTATCCTCAGAACCATTTCCTCTGCTATATGGAATAGGAGGTCTTTCAGAAAGTCACTTTGGTTTGATTGTCTTGTGCATGTCCTATCACAAAATGTTCTACATTATGCTGCTCTTGAAACCTACTTAGGAGATGCAACTGATCCAGAATTCAACAGCAATTATTTGTATGCCTTATTAGGCCCATGTATTTTTTTCTCCTTGAATTACACTAGTTACCAGAATTCTTTCTAGTGAAAATTCAAAGAATTGGTTATCATCTATGAAGCCTTAATGGCATAAGACCTGGTTATGTAACACCATTTTTTGTAGCTGTTGCCAAGCCTGTACAATTGGACAAAGTGAGCATTGGCATTCATTATGCCGTGCTACTTGATGGGACATAGGAAGTTCCCTGTTGTTACTTAAGCAGGTATGGTAAAATAAACTGAAATAGAGGTACAAACGAATGGATGCCCAACAAATGTGACCTGAATACAACAATGAATGAACAGTGTAGAACAAGCATATGGTTGGTTAGAGAGACTGAATGAGGATCAAATTGCCAAGCAAATATATAAAGGAAGTGTATATAGATCAGAAAAAAAGGAAATGTTGAGAAAATTGTAGTTGGATAGTGTTCCTCAAAAGAGGCAGATTTTTTTTAAAAATAAAAAGACTGTATGAAATAGTATGTGTGGTGATGTAAACTACTTTTTTTACTTTTTTTAAATCATGACTTATTTTCTTTGCCTTACTCTACTTCTGCTACTGTGCATAATTTTGGTTACTCCAAAAGGGGAGAACATCATGATGTGTGTCTGTCTGTCTATCGATGTATGTGTGTGTTTAGGTATAGTTGGGGCTTTATCTGGAAAAGTTCCACTAAACATTTCTAATAAAATTTATATACTTTTATACTGATCCACTGGGGATTCTCGGGGATCTTCCCCAATTTCCCAGACAGATTGTTCATCTATTCTCCAAGCCATTTGCTTGCCCTGAGCAACTGTATTTTGACAATAACAGCAGAAAAATATGCTACTTTTCATTAGTAATATACCTTCTTCATTATGTTATATATCATATTTTACACTGTGTTTATTAATGCTGCAGGCTACTATTATGTCAGGGAGTACAGTGAGCCTGAATCATGATAACTCTCAAGTTCGCAGCCATCTAGGAAGACAAGCCAGCTTTCAGGAAAGAAGTATTTCCAGGCCACATTATAGCCAGACCACTCGAAGCAACACATTGCCTTCAGATGTGGGAAGGAAGTCCATAGCCCTTAGGAAAATGAAGCAAGAGATGAAAGAAATCATGTCCCCAACTCCTGTGGAGTTACACAAGGTAATGACTTTTTGATTTCACCTTCTGGCCAAGCTCTGGATCATGAAGTTTGCAACCTCACTCCTGCCCCTTTCTCCACCCCAAAAAATATTCCTTCCTAGGACACAGAGATTAAGGATGGTAGAAAGAGAAGGAGGAGAGCCTAACTAACTGTTTTGATTTTTTTTCTTCTTTTGTAAAGTAAAGCAGCACAACAACATGGAGCAGTGCAATATTTTCAATTCTGCAATAAATGTGGGTGAATAATAGTTTTTTATGCTACTACTCTGGTAGTATTCAGCTTAGACTAACCATAAGATTATATCCAATATAATCAAGGGGCATATTAAATTAGCATTCACTACCAGTGTTCAGCATTTTCTCTGAGTTGTATATTATTTGTTCCCAATGGACTGCTTCAGCAAATATACTCCCCATTCTTAAATGCATACAGAGGTAAAATAATTAAATGAATAACCATACAAACAGCTGAAATTGATTTAAATGCTCTGACATTCATATTATTTTAACTGCATCTAAACTCAGCATGAAACCAAATATTTATTCATTTACATTTTATACTTCTGAACTGCACATCTCTATCAAAGAGTTACAGTTCCTATGGAAAAGATATTTCTGTTAATATTCAAAGTGGGAAGGGAACTATCCAAGATGCATGTTTTAATCAAGAACTGCGGGGAGGAGAGGGATGGTTTCGCGCGAGCAGCCTGCTGCTTACACAAATGGAGCATGCGTGCACATGCTCAGACCTACTCATGCAAGTGAGGATGGATTTGTGCGTGTGCTCGTTGGCCATTTCTGCAGCCCAGTTGAAATCCTTTCATGGCCTACTAGTGGGCTGCGACCCACAGGTTGGGGTTTCCTGCTCTAGTCAGAAAGAATATGGAAGAGAATGCTTAAAGACAATATTTCATGTTTATATTTTATATTTTTACACATTTTTCCTTCTAAAAATGGTGGTAATGAAACTTTTTATAATTGCTAGATTCTTTGACATTTATGTTAGTGTAGAATTTTGGAGTATATTATTCCACCCATCAAAATTATCAGAAAGATGCCTATTGATATCCCTCCATGGAGATACAGCAAGAGGTAAGTTTTCATCATAAGTAGTTGCTTCTTTTTTTGTTACACTGCAATAAGGTAGAAAAATTTCTATTAAACATAACTTCCCATTATGGTTTAGCCAAGAAATTATAGCTATCTTTTAAACAAATCAAATTTTGTTTAAAACTGAACTTATGATTCCAGCTTGCTCCACATCTAATGAACCCTGATTTCAGCATAGCAGGAGAAAGTACTTAAAGGAAGATTTCCCATCTTATTGCAATGTAGCAAAGTAAATGTTTGCTTGTGCTGATAGGAGATGGTGGTAACAGAGACTCAACAACAAAGCTATGGTATCAGCTATCTTTTTTCTTGAAAATATGATTCTCCTTGACACATAAGGTTGGAATCCAAATTGTAGCATCTCCGGGAAGTGGCTGCCTGGCTTTCACTTCTACTCATTCCATGAAAGGTAGCCTACCTCTTTTTTCAATAATTGGTTCCATCATCAAATTGCTGCAACTGCCAGGATGTTTTTCCCCCTAGCATACAATTGGAATATGCATTCTTGCAACTTACCATCCATTACTCTGTGACCTGATTCTGGAAGAAAAGAAATAGGGTTTGATTTTCTTCTACATCATATGTTTTCAACTATTTAAAAAGAGTACAATCATATCAACTCTCAGTTATGTTTCCCTGGGGATAAAAATATTAAACTCTTTTTATTGTATCACTAATATTTATTTTTTGTCTAATGATCCTTTCCCGAACCTTTTCTATTTTTGCCCATGCTTCTTAAAGTATAATGCCCAGGACACAATATTGTAGGTGGAGATAATAGAATAAATAGAATATAGTGAAATACTTCTAATGATTTAAAAATTACGCTTCTATGCATGTGTTTTCCTTTTATAGCCACATCAAACTGGTGATTCTTAGTAATAAAAAGTATTCAATATGCTACTATTCCAAGATGTTTCCACAAGTAGTTACCAATATCTGTTAATCCTATATCTATGTAGAATTTTGTATTTCTGTGTTAATTTTATTGATATTTTCATCTCATCTCTATAATATATTAATATGATTTTGAATCTTATTCCAGAATATTAACTATCTGCTATTTCTTACCATCTACAAAGTCAATAAAAATGTTGGAGAATAGAATTCAGGATAAATTTTGTACTACTTCATTTAATTCTTTTCTCCAGTTACATGAGAAATATGGTGAATTTGTATTTTGAGTCAGCCATGCGTTTGCCATGACACTGTGCTCATACTCATAGTGTGTCAGCTGTTTTGCAGCATATTATGCTTATGGTACTCCCCAGCAAGGAATCTTTCTGATTTCAAAAATGATATAAGATTAATCTGTAAAGACTTTTCTCTTCTAGATTTTTTTTAACATATAATCAGAGTTGGAAGAGACCTTGTAGGTCATCTAGTCCAACCGCCCACCCACTCAAGCGAGAGACCCTACACCATTTCTGACAATTGGCAGTCTAATCTCTTCTTGAAAATCTCAAGTGATGACGCTCCCACAACTTCTGAGGGCAAGCTGTTCCACTGGTTGATCGTTCTCACTGTCAGAAAGTTTCTCCTTATTTCCAGATTAAATCTCTCCTTGTTCAGTTTCCATCCATTATTCCTTGTCTGGCCTACAGGTGCTTTAGAAAATAGCCTGACCCCTTCCTCTCTGTGGCAGCCCCTCAGATATTGGAAGACTGCTATCATGTCTCCGCTGGTCCTTCTCTTCACTAGACTAGCCATGCCCAGTTCATGTAACCATTCTTCATATATTTTAATCTCCACCTCCCTAATCATCCTGGTTGCTCTTCTCTGTACTTTTGCTAGTGTCTCAATATCTTTTTTATAGTGTGGTGACCAAAACTGGATACAGTATTCTAGGTGTGGTCTTACTAAGGCTTTATAGAGTGGTATTAGTACTCACTTGATCTCGATTGTATCCCTCTGTTAATGCAACTTAGAATTGCATTAGCTTTTTTGACTGCTGTTGCACACTGCTGACTCCTGTTTAGCTGATTGTCCACTAAGATTCCAAGATCCCTCTCACAGTTACTGCTATTGAGCCTGGTTTCACCCAGTCTATATATGTATTTTTGGTGTTTCTTGCCTAAGTGTAGGACTTTACTTTTCTCTACATTGAATTTCATTTTGTTAGATACACCCCAGTGTTCTAGTCTGTCAAGATCCAGATGGATCTTGAGCCTATCTTCTTGGGTGTTAACTATTCATGCCAGCTTAATATCATCTGCAAATTTGCTACATTCCCCTTCTATTCCCTCATCTATGTCGTTAATGAAGATATTAAAGAGTATTGGGCCTAAGACGGAACCTTGTGGCACCTCACTGCTTACTTCCCTCCATGCAGACTTAGACCCCTTAAGGACTACTCAGTGGGTACCATTTGTCAGCCAGTTGCAAATCCATCTGGTGGTGATGCTATCTATCCCACTTTTTTCTAGTTTACCAAGAAGTAGGTTGTGGTCTACTTTGTCGAATGCCTTGCTGAAATCTAATTATATTATGTCCTCAATATTTCGCTAATCTACTAATTTCGTCACTATGTTGAAGAATGATCTGGCATGATCTATTTTTAACAAACCTGTGCTGACTGCTAAAGATTTACCAAATTAAAGCCAAGTAATTTATAATCTTGGTATGATCTTCCCTAAGTATTCTAGATCTTGATGCAAACTCTTTTTTTCATTAACATGATTTTTTTCATTAATATATTGAAAAGGGGCAAGGAATGGAAATGACTGGAGAATACCAGAAAGAAACTATTGCTCATGCTTAGTGTATGAGAAAATGTGGGAAGATTAGGCAAAAAGTATTTCTGAATTTTTAACAAAGTTATGAGGAATTTCCTTATCCCTTAACAGATAACTTTATACAAGGATACTAATATGGAAGACTTTGGATTCAGTGTCTCCGATGGCTTATTGGAAAAAGGGGTATATGTTAAAAATATTCGGCCAGATGGACCTGGAGATATAGGTGGTTTGAAGCCATATGACAGACTACTACAGGTAGTGTGAAACATTATACAATTCTGAACTCAATTAATAGAGAGAAGTCATTTAGTAAATATAAAGGGATTTATGTTAAGCAAACATTGAAGCAGTTAAGTTCAACATACAGACATTTGAGGATGTTCTATATGAAATTGTGCAAATGTAATTCTGCTTTCTCAATCACTTATTTTGTAAGCCAAATAAGGGAGAATATATAGTACTTTGTAAAATTCCACTCCATCTATTAATACGATAGGAATCAGTGTCATTAAATATCTGATAGAAAGGTGTTTCTTTGTCTAATATAAAAGTATATAAAAAAATTTTTAAAGTTGAGTGGAAAAGAATGAAGAAAATGTAAAAAAGAAAGGAATGAGAAGGAGATATACATGGGATTGTAGATGTAGCTACTTAAAAGTGGGATTCCTTTGCAGATTAACCTGAAGATTAGTTATAGTTTAGGTGGAGCTACTTTTCTAATGAAGTTTAATCAGTTTTGGAATACCTTCATAGGACGCACTTCTCTTTTCATTCCTTATCTGTCTAATTTTTGGTTCCTCTTACCTTATCTCGCTTTGTTCTGTCTCCCCTTTCGGTTATAGATTATTCCCAATACAGCTATCCTTATTGTGCATCCTGTCTTTATCCTATTTTTCCCTTATTTTTCTGCTAAAAGGAGGAGTTAGCTACAATGTATGTGTAGTTTTGTGTGAGAAAACCATGTATGAAAAAGAATAGTGATAAATGCAGATAGAATTCTCCAAATTAAGATCCTTATTTTAGGCAATTCAACTTAAATAATTCAACTATACCTGGCAGTTTTTCTAAAACATCAGGGGCCCTTGTGCAGTGGAAGTATATGAATGCTGAAAAGGAATGGATGAGTGAATGAATGAATAAGGCAGGGATTGTTACTATTTTTTGTTGTTTACTTTTCTTTTGGGAAATAGTCCTAAATAATTCTAAATTAGAATTAGAATTATTTAGGTAAATACAGTATCTCTGTTGCACAGCTGCAACCATGTATTCATTTTCTTTAAATAATACTGCTAAACACTGTGAGACTTCTGAATCAAGTTAGATAGAATGGGGAAAAATCAAATTAAATTTATTAGCTTACAAAATTACATTGTTTATTTCATTCTCTTGCAAATATTTTCTTCTTTATTTCAAGCTCTTTATTTATCTGAGTCTGAACTGTCTTATATTATCCTTCACCTAAAACATGTAAGACCATCTTTTCTTGGCTTGCTTGACTTGTCTTCTTTGGTTGAAAACATTCTCTCTTTTTTCCTTTTCAGGTAAATCATGTTCGGACAAGAGACTTTGACTGCTGCCTAGTTGTACCCCTAATAGCAGAGTCTGATAATAAATTAGAACTTGTTATTAGTCGCAACCCGTTAGCTTCCCAAAAGAAGGGCTCTGAGCATCAGACTTTCTCAACAGGACAATGGAGCCATCCAAACAACGCGTTCCTTCAACAAAGCGGACATAACACAGGTTCAGAGATGAAATGGGAGCCTATGAACACTTTATAGCCAAAAGCTGTATCTGTGCAAGAGATTTAAATGGTGCTATTTTTTTTAATATGTCTGATACACTGGAAACACAGATACTATCTAATGTTGAGAAGCACACAGGGAAGGTTCTGATTATTTCTCAAGGCTCATTCTTTGCTGCTTTCTTCCCAATTGAGTTTTCTTCTCACTTTTTTTATAACCACAAATAGTGCCATTTCAAGTTGAACTCCATGTGCAAGAGAAATTAATGAGAAAAGTAACTGTTTTCATGTAGATTAATTAAAAAAATTGTAAATGAAACTGAGCTCTTTTCAACCCCATCCAAGTCTCTGAAAAGAGTAACCCCAGCTTGGAACATGAGTTTTTTTTAATAAAAAATTATATTAAAAGATGAGCTAATTGAAGGAATATCAAAATATCATCGCTATGCCCAAAAGATTATTGTATCATAGTTATTGTTTAACAAAATGTGTTTCTGTTACCTCTAAACAAAAGTGGGGGAAGGTGGAGGGGGACCAAAAACTGTTACTTGTTCTGCAATCATTTCAACAAAGGTGCACACAGGATCCTGGAGTGTAAAACTTTAGATTCTGTTGCAATATGATTTATTAGAAATTATATTATTCCCTATGCAATGATATACTGACTAGGATATGTCATGCAGCCTGTATGAATTTCTTACTTTTAGGTATTTGGAACGTATAATGATTTGTTTTAAAACAGTAAGTTTTACAGAAACAAGGTTTAATAAGAAAAACATTCAAGTAAGTTTTTTTCTTAACTGAATTCCAGTAGCAAAGTAATATTGATGCAAAAACATATGAACTGCTGTGTTTAGGAAACACATGTATAAATAAACTTGTACAGCAACACAGGACTCTTTTTTAAAATGAAATGAAATGTGCATTGATTTAAAGTATCTATTTAAATAGCTTTGTTGGAGCTCTCATTGACTCTTGCCATTTTGAAGACTTAATTTTAAAATGTAAATATGTTTTATCCACATATTTCCAAATTCTGCTGTTTTTCATTCAAAGCAATAAAATGCTGCTAGTTATTTTTGAGACCCACCAGCAGCTGCTTTGGTTCACTGTATTATCTTGATAATTGATGTTACTTAGTGACTGGAAAGACACCGGATTTTTCTGTGATAACATTGAACCTTTATATCTTAACCATAATTTTTTTGGCCTCTTTGAATTGTCAAAATTCATAATACTCTTTTCTTCATCTATTAGAGAGCAAGTTTCTATGCCCTATGCACTCACATGACATTTTCTCATATTCCAGCACTGCCAGAAAGAAAAAATAAATGAAAATGAAATCCATATCATGAACCACTTAATACGTATTTTTATTTGTAACAATGAGTATTAAACTAAAGTATTTTTGTACAAATTTAATACTTTAATAGCATGATATTTATCATCTTACAGTATGTATGGTTTCTGGGAACTCAAATTGTTAAAAATTTGTATGGAAAATGTAAAAAAAAACTAATAAACATATTTAAAGACAATAGTTTGGATCCTAAAAGTAGAAGCAGAACAAAAAGTGTGGAACATGACTAATTTTACCACTATGGAAGAGTGGAAACAGGGAAAAATTGAGTCAAAGCAACTTGCAAAGGTGGAACTGCAAACTTCATCATAAAGTGTAAAAAATATTTAGACGAACAGTTTACATGGGTAAATATTCTACAATTTTAGGCAAGAGGAAAAACGTTGTTGTACTATATCATCCAATCCAAGTTGTGTGATCATTATTTACCCATTGAAATTTTAAGATTTAGTTCAACAAATATAATTCATAAAGAAAAGCACCTTCATTTTTTAAGCGTTCAAGGATACGTGTGTATATTATGTCATGCCTTTAATTTTTTCAGACATTCTTATTAGGTTATAAAGTATTATAAAATGCAAAATACAAAAGTAAATAAAAGAACAGTGAGAGAGGAGGGGAAGGGGGAGAGAGAGAAGTGAGGAAAGGTAGGTAAAAGAGAAAAAAAGGAGCATTGACTTCCGACTCTCTGTTGCAGAATAGGCCATTAAGATCAAATCACAGCTTTTAGTTTTTCCATAATAAGTCCTTTCTATAAAGATCTATCAATCTATAAAACCCAAAGTCAAAGTTACATTCTTTTCCACACCAAGCACAAAATTCAGAAGGTGTTTCCATGTGGAAACGAAAGTACTTATGTTTTTTCTTTAATCAGAGTAGTCAGTTTTGCCATTTCAGCCAACTTCATCTTTGTATGAGCAAAATGTCTTTCCATTTTTGCGTATACAATAGTCTTGCTGTTGTCCTTTTAATCTTTAATCCAGCTAGTGTACATAAAAAAAACTATTGCTATTTACCTGCCTTCCATTACTCCCCAGTTGTTTCTTGGATACCTTCCAAACTGGAAACATATTTTCCAGTGAAGTGCTGTCAGGGTCTTTTTGGCAAATATCTATTACTTTTCTTGGTTTAAATATCACAATGGTTTGCCTGTTCTTCTCTAATGGATCATGTTTAGTCTGATTGTTTGTTTATGAACTTCTCCTCATGGGTAAACATTATGGTGATCTGCACTCTTCATGATATCATTGGGATGTACAGACTCTTTAATCACAGTCTATGAGAGTGAAATCTAGCATTATCTACATAAATTAATGGTCTGGCCAGGCTTCAGTGAAAGCGAATATTCCACAATATTGTTTGAGTTATGAAGATACTTTTATTCTTTGCATTTCTGATAAAAACATAAACCATGGAACTGAGTGCATTTTTAAAATAGATTTTAAATGTTTCCCTTTATCCATCTGTTATATTGATTTACATGATAAATAACTGGTTAATGCTATTAACATCACTTGGATACTTGGATCTTCTGAGTAACAAAGAAGAAGATCTTCTGCTTGTAACAAAGTTTATTTATAATTTTGTAGTATTTCCTATAATATAAGCAGGGAAGTCAATATTTATTTTAATTTTAAATATATCCAAAGATTCAGAATAATGAAAGCCAAGTAATTTTTGGTCACAGTCTTTTGACTGACTATAAACTGACTGACTATAGACTGTATCCATGTTAGTAAATCATTTTCTGAGCTATTGGCTTAAATTAAATGTTCTTACTGAAAATGTGCATTCTGCAAGACTTCCAAGGGACTCTTTCAGGATGGTTCACCTTCTGAACCAAATAGGCATGTTCCAATCCCAAATCCTCCAGGGATAGGAGTAATTCTGTTTTGCAGACCAAAAATGAAATTTAAAAGTACAAAATAAAATATATAATAAAAATGATGCCCCAAACCAGGAGGAAAACATTCTATGAAATGATTCCAGACAAGAAAACTTTCATATTCTATGAAGTTATTCCAGACAATAAGAAGGAAGAAAGGGAGAGGAATCGTGAACTCCACAACATAAGGCTGGGGAAGGAAGGAATGGGGAAGAAGCTATAAAGGTCAAAATGTCAACACTACATTAAAAGGAGGAGTGGGCCAGCTGCCCTCAGGTAAAGGAAATTCACATTAAACCTTTCCTATTTTCTCTTGAGCCTCCCAGATTATCTATCTATGAATATGATATGCAAAAGTGCATAAGAGGGAGCTCCAAGAAATACATTCTGAAGTATTCACTTGCCAAAAGTGTTGATGTATCAACACTTGAAATGCTTAAGAAACCAAGAAGGGGCTCATTCATCCAGTACCGGGATTGTACCTCCATTTAAGCATATTGTTTTTACATTTAGGCACTCCAACTCTCAACCGATTCAGGGTCCTCCAAGTAGTATAAGGGAGTACAATTTAATGCAATGTTATTAGAATATCAAATTCAATGCTAATTAATATAATGAAGAAATTGTGATATATTAGTTTATGAGACAGTGATGATAAATTCAAGGTAATACTAAATTGAAATAAATATTTCTGTAATTTATGGTAAATTATCTCATAAATTTACCTCGTAAATTCAGAAGAATTACTCTATTGTAAAGATCCCAGAAATATGTGCACACCTCATTCACTTGACCCTTATGTTAGCTTATTGTTGTAAAAGAGATCTCTCAAAATAACTTCCTAGAATTATAGATTTGGATCAAACATTAAAAAATAAATCTAATAGCTGTAAAGTTAGAGGTCATTAGATGTTGGAAGTCATACATTCCAACTGCTTGTTTAAATTCAAAGAGTGGGATGGAGCCCATCATATGTTGGGGGGGGGTGATTTTTTTTGTTTTTGTTTTGTTTTTCAGATTTTGTTCTACTATATTTTATTAATTTATTTGATTCTTTTTGTTAGTTTTTACTGGGGTTTTTTTTAAAATATGGTTTTACATTCTGTAAGCTGCCTTGAGTCGCCATGGGCAAATAGGAGGTAATATAAATTCAATAAATATGTTCTCAGTGTACATAAAAGAAAAGATACATTTGTCAAGAGTCAAGAATCATAAGGTACAACAGTTAATAATAGTCATAGGTACAATAAGCAATCAAATCATACTAGGAAACAGTCAATAAAAATCATTAGGATACAAGCAACAGTTAGTCATACAGTCGTAAGTGGGAGGGGATGGATGAAAGGAAGGATGGGAGGATTGATAGTAATAGTATTGCAGACTTAGTAAATAGTTTGACAATGTTGAGGGAATCATTTGTTTAGCAGAGTGATGGCGTTCAGGAAAAAATTGTTCTTGTGTACAGTTGTTCTGGTGTGCAGTGCTCTATCAAGTTGTTTTGAAGGTAGGAGTTGAAACAGTTTATGTCCAGGATGTGGGGGGCCTGTAAATATTTTCACAGCCCTATTTTTGGCTCGTGAAGTATACAGTCCTCAATGGAAGGCAGGTTGGTAGCAATCTGTTGTTGTTTTTTTTGCAGTCCTAATTACTCTCTGAAGTCTGTATCTGTCTTGTTGGGTTGCAGAACCAAACCAGACAGTTATAGAGGTGCAAGTGACAGACTCAATAATTCCTCTGTATCAGCAGTTCCTTGGGCAGTTTAGGCTTTCTGAGTTGGTGCACAAAGAACATTCTTTGTTGTGCTTTTTTGATAACTTTTTGATGTTAGGTGTCCATCTTATGTCTGGATTTATGATAGAATTTAGAAATGTGAAGGTATCTACTGTTGATACTGTGTTGTCTAGTATTGTAAGAGGTTTACCCAGATTATCATTAGCAACTTCTGGATTTCCTCCATGCCTTCCAAATACTATTCCACTTTTGAAGATGCCTCATCGGACATTTCCCAAGTTTTCTTAGTTTCTCAGCCATAATAAAACATAAGAAATGTAGCCAGCCTTTAATATAGTTCTGATTTTATTTTCCTGAATGACCATTACACACTAGCTACTTCTTTTTTTATTTCCTAAAAATGCTACTGCTGTGATCATGTTTCCCATATTTATTTTCATTCTTCTGCTAGCATAAGAGTTCTTAATTCAGTGTAGAAATTCATATATAAATTATCAATATACTCCCCAAACTATTTTTATTGTCCCAATTCAATCTTTAATCTTGTCTTTATCATACTGTGATTTTAAGTAGTCATGAAGTACCTGATATTGCTGCAGTTTTCTTGGCAAGATTTTGGAAGTGATATGCCCTTGCCTTCCTTTTAGGTTTGAGATAGTGACTGGCCCAAGGTCACCCAGCTGGTTTCATGTCTAAGGTGAGATTAGAACTCACACTGTCTTGATTCCTAACCTAGTGTCCTAACCACTATACCAGACTGCCTCTTATTACTTTTATAATTTCATTATAGCTTTTAAAAAATCCCAATTACTTTCTTGATCCTGATTTTAAAACAATTCGGTTATTCTAGTTCTTCAGGTTTTTTTATTTCAGCCCCACAAAAGCTGAAACATGTTCATTACAATTCATTTTAATTTGAAAATTTTCACATTAGCAATGGTCTGAAATGATGCAAATTCTAATCCAATCTTCAAGTTGTCAAGGTTAAGAAATACTTCTTTACCGAATGGACATTCTAAGTTGCATGGAAAAAAATTAGTGGAAAACTTCCTGGCAAATGATTATCTCTAATTAGATATCCTTGTTTTTCAGAACATTTTATGCTGGCCTGTAAAGTTACAAAAGGACTGAACAGCTGAAGTGTGGTTATTAATAGCCATGACATTGTAATTCAATGTATTATTTATTGAGCAGAATGCAGCTGCTTCACATTTAAGTACATGGCACTGCAATTTTTAGATATTTCAATAATAAGCTGTAACTTGGAATAAAGACAAAAACATTTAGATATATTGGAAAAATAATAAGATGCTTATAATTTTCCAAGACCAAATAGAAACAGAATGCACTAGTCCTCTATCCTTCTAAGTACTTTATGATAATTATATTTAA